TTATGTCAGTTATTTGCTGTTGTATCGCAGATTTTCAAAATGCAAATGATCTGTTTACTTTATTTTCAAAGAACAGTTTGTTTTGTTATTGTTTGGTTGGTGTCTTATATGAAACTGCGACATTGCGCAATTTATTGGACAGACTTGTTTAAGATCACACAGCGTAATTTGAGTGGCATTTTATTTCGTATTTTTAAATCATCTTTTTATTTTTGACTATCTGTAAATTTAGTTTCCTGCTCTTAATTGTGAATGCATACTTGATGGTTTTAAATGCTCCTGAAATTAAGTGCTGCTTGACGAGCCTATATTGTGTATGCATGTGACGTCATTGAAGGCCTTAGGTTGAAATGCATGGCCCGCCACTGAGTATAGGCCTTTCTAAAGTCCGAAAAAAAAAACCCTGCTGTACCTCAAGAAAAGCTAGTGGCGAGTGCGTTGTACAAACTCATCAAAAACAGCCCAAAACACTGTTGTGCAAAAGTTGTGATCTGCAAATTTATTACGCTATGATAATTAAATGGAATGTTATGAGACAAAGTTTATCTTTGTCTCATAACACTTTCATTACACTTTATCAACACAAATGGAAAAACAATGATAACAAAAGTGCAGTATACGCACACTTAAAAGAAACAAACCACACAATTGAAGATGAACAAGTAAAAATCCTAGGAACAGAAAAGAGATGGTTTGAAAGGGGAGTAAAGGAAGCGATTTTTGTTAAAAAATTTTCACCCTCTCTGAACCGTGAAGGAGGTATCAGATTTAACCTGTCTCCTATTTACAATAACTTGTTGACCAGTAAGGGACATAGACATGCTGATCAGGCTAACTGAAAGTAGCTATTCAGCCTTAGCCCAAACAATAGGCCTAATCAAGACCCAATGATAGGGAGTTTAGAAACCAATGGGCCTCTTCACCATAGGGGCGTGACTAACCATCCCCACCCAGTCCTCAAACAGGCCACGCTCAGCCTTTTAGCGCAGAGCAACTTCCCGGAGTCTTCACGGAGACTTCAGGGTTGTCTACCGCTGACGAAGCTTCTGTGAGAGAAGCGAAACGTCCTTTTTTGTTTTTTTTTTTGTTTGGTTTTATTTTTTTTGTTTTTTACCCACAGGTACAGATGACGACTGACAGAACCCTTTCTACGATGAGACAAAGTTGTTTTGTGTGCAAGGACAACGCCGAGGATTTAGATAGGTTCATAGGGCCAAGGGCCACATCTATTGGTGAAACTTCATTTGGGGAAAAAAAGCGACCTTAAAGCTGTGTTTTTAGATTTCTCCCTTTCATACCCACTGTTTTCACATAATGACCGAATATTTATCAGTCCTTGTCTATCAAGGTAGAAGATTGAAAATTTCATGTACCTGTGTTTCAAAGGAATACATAAGAACATAATTTCAAAAATGTTTGTACCATGGTTCAAAACTATATTTCACTGGAGAATCTCCAGAGGAATTCATCCCTTACTGTGATGTACTACCTCCTTTGTTGTTGGGTCTGTTCTGACTCTTGAGAGAAAGAATGGAGGATACTGTTTGAAGTATTTCCCGCTAACTGTGATTCACTCTTTCTTTTATTGTTTGTGATGTCATGATTTGGCATGAGGGTGGAGGACCCCAAAAAATCAGGGAGGCAGGAGGAGCAGGGTGGACTGAACAAAAAATACATGCAAAAAATACTTGCAAGAGTACATACAGTGGAAAAACTAACTCAAATACATGAACACAAAGCATAAATGCTTTGAAATGCCCCCCCCCCACCCCCAGCCCCCCTGACACAAATGAACAATATCTGAGTATTTGGCAGTTTTGCTTTGTTTTACAAAATAATTTGTCAATGTTAATGTTTCAAAAACGTTCACAAAAATAAGAGCAGGATCATTTGGAAGGGGCACAAATGTCTCTAAACTGTCACATGCTGATGGCCTCTCAGTGACAGGACTCACTCTGCCCTCAGAAGTGGTGGTTGCATCATGAATTGAACTGGTAGAGAGTTGTTGCTCAGGGCGAGATGCGGCTGCAAAGCCTCTATACCAGGGGTGTAAACTCATTTCACATTGTCGGCCACGTATGGCCTCGGTAGATGTCAAGTGGACCGGACCATTAAAATTATACCATAGTCTGCTATAAATAACGAAAATAACATGTCTTTCCTTTGTTTTGGTCTAAAGAAGCACAAGAACATTAGGAAAATGTTGAAATTGAATGAACATATCTTTTACAAAACATTTCATGAAGCACCTTCGATTTCCTTAGACAAATGTGCAATTTACTTTTATCATTCACATATCTTTTACAAAACATTTCATCAAGCACCTTAGATTTCCTTAGACAAATGTGCAATTTACTTTTATTATTCACATATATGCATTGCAACTGATCCCGCTGATTGTACAAAGGCACAAAACTTTAACAAATGGTATTGAAAAATATAGTAATGCACTTTAAGATTAAACAAGATTTACAAAGAAATGAATTTTTAAACAATTTACACATGTGCATATAAATCTAAATTTAATCCCTGCCTACACCTTACAAACTAAGGAGAGTGCTATTAAATGTGTGAAGAATCAAGTGTTCTCATGTCCTTGATAGTGTCTGCTGTGTTGTGTCTCTCAGTGACAGACTGAGGCTGCTGTTGTCTTCTTCTCTGATCAAAACAATGTTGTCTTCTACTCTGATCAAAACAGTGTGCCCCCTAGCGGATACTCCATGAATTGCACTTTATTAAAAATATTCATTCGGTGTCTTTATGCATTTTTTTCACTTTTTTCAGTTTTTCACAATTATCCTGCGGGCATGATCGAACCTCCTTGGGGGCCGGTTACGGCCCGCGTGCCGTATGTTTGACACCACTGCTCTAGACCTTCTGGTTGATGGCCGATCTTTACTACTTGTGGTATTTAGTTGATCATTTGAAACTTCCACTTGGCGTTGCGTTCTCTTTGAACAGATTGAGGCATGAATCCTGAATTGAGAAATATGAGACAAAATATCCAAGGACTCTACAGTGAAATATAGTTTTGAACCAGGGGTTCGAGCTTATGCTTATGAGAACGATGCCTCTCACCAGCAGACAGGCTGTTGGGGGCGTGTTAACATTCATGTTTTGACGCAATTTTGCAATGCTTTAGATTCACTTGTTCGCAGTGATGGAATAAAGACATGTTTACACTCAGTTGTGTGTACTCCATTATCAGTGCCACATTGGTGACCCCGGTGTCGAATATGTTTTGAGCAGTGGATGAAAATGTGTCTTCTTCGGCCACATCGCCCCCATACCGCCACTACCGCGAGGCTGCCGGAGTTCTGGCAGACCTTTGTGGTGTTAGCATATCAAAGCGCTTTTCCACATACGAGGAATCACCACTGTTGAGCCGAAGCTTTACATGGTCGTGGCGGCCCTCGACCAACTGACTGCTCGTTGTGTTCTGCAGCCCTTGCTTACACATCCACAAAACAGGAGTATGACGCGCTCAAACAGCTCTTGCTCAGACGGTTCAGTTTGTCGGACTCAGAGAGAGCTGAGAGACTCCTTTCCCTGCCAAGGTTGGGTGATGGCACGGCAGTGGATCTCATGGTCAAAATGTTGTCTCTCTTCAGCTCAGATGAGGGCGGATTCCCTTTCCCGCACATTTTCCTATGACAACTACCACCTCTTGTGCGCGCGATGTTGGCAAACTCCGCTTGTCTGGCGGACGGGCGATTATCGAGACCGAGGAAGTTGATCGAGTTCTGCTGGCTACGAGACGATTCATTCGGCGCAAAGGCTCAGCGTTGTGTATCTCCCTGCACCTACGAGCCTTTGGGAAACTTCAATGCTGGCGTTCAGTTGCGACTGTAGGTGCCGGCAGAGAAAACGAACTGCTCTTCATCACGGACTCATCATCAGGAAGACGTTTCCTAGTTGACAGTGGGTCGCGAGTTAGCCTGCTTATGCTCACTGCCGCTGACAAGATGGCAGGTAGTTGCAGGTCACCCCTGTGTGCGGCTGACGGTTCGCCCATGGTCAATTTTGGATCCAAGGCTCTAACTGTGTGCTTCCATGGACGCGATTTCCAGTGGAACTCTATTGTTGCTTCAATCACTGTTCTAATTCGGGGCGCGGATTTCTTGTGTGCACACGGACTGCTAGGGGGCATTGCTAATCGCAGTTTGATTGACGCTATCTCTTTCGCTACTTTTCCGAGTAAAGCTGGGGGACTCGAAACATTGACGCAGGCAAATGATTTGGCATCATGCAACATTTATCAACGTTTGCTGACGGATTTTCCGTCATGAACGACTCCCGCTTTTCCCACGGTCATTGCGAAGCACGGGCAGAGCATTTCATCCCCACCATTGGCCCGCCAGTATTGGGCCTTTTCCTATAAATGCCTTCTCCTCTGACACAGCTTCATTCGAGTCCTCTTCACCAACATGAACCAGACAACTGGCACTTTAACCTTCCTCCAGTAAGTATGTCATCAGTTGGTGAGAGATATGGAGGGCTGCCGGCGACCACAACATCATTCACAAAGTGGTCCTTCTTGACCTGAGGATTTCATTAATGACGAGTTCAGATTCTGATCTTTCACTTGGCCACTTCTCTTCTGTCATTTTCAGAAGGTCTGGGCCTTCAAGCCATCCAATCCGCCTCAATATAGTTGTTCCACACTCAGTCCTCTCGAAGCATCTTCTGACAGATTTTGTGCTGCACGGTGTCAGCTACGGGAATCGAACCGGGAACAAGGGGGGAAAAAGGCCGCTCTATCCTTTCCTCCCTTCAAATTTGATTTATTCCCGAAGGTCGTCCCTCCCGGTAACGGGCTTCCAAGGGACGAGAGGCCTCGAGTGAGAGAGAGAGAA